TACCTCATCATGTATCCTATAAATCGAAACTATCTCTTTCTGAATTTATGCATATTTGTACTTTTCGTTTCTATTTTCCTGTAAACTTCCTCCTTGCTTACATGCACCGTCCATTGTATTATCAGCATCAAGGCTGGATTAACCAATAAGCAAAATAATCATTTGCTCAAGGCGTCAAGGAAAGAGGGTACCACAGAAATTCTAATGATACTATGTTGTTGTACACATCGAAAGAAATGAGTCGAACACTAACAAACAGGGCGCCATTATGAAGTGGAGTCAACTGCTCTGCAGCGAATCTTTATCGACATTCTGATTGGTTAATAAAGGAATGAACAAAGGGAGTATTGTGACCAAGTAAATGGTTTAAGAAATAACAGAACACGTGTTACAGATATATCATAAACTGTAAGTAAACCATTACACGACTAGTGAGTGTGTATCGAATGGCCCAGCGATTAATCTATTCACAGTTCCCCAAAATCTTCTCTTCTGTTAGGTTGGTGCAAAAATAATGACGTAATAATGTCGTTTTTTGACGTTAAAAATACGTCAAAAACGACATTATTACGTCATTATTTTGCACCAACAATATTAATTTTATAGTAGGCGGAAGAGGCCAACATAATCTCTTTAGAGGTAGGACACCACAACAGGGTGATAACGAGGATTGTATTTACTCAATACAACACATCTCTCTTGAATAATTTAATATTACTAATTAGCTTAATGGGATTTAATTTTGTGAACAGAAGTAGACAACCTTCATGTTCGTTTGGCATTATTCTAGCCATATTTTTATGCGATTCTGTAACATGCTGGTTTGACACAACCACTTCTGGTCACAGTTCTGTTAGAACCTGGTCGTGGCTCATTTGACAGTGGCTGCACAACTGAGATTGTTTCTTTCTTGGTTGATGTTGTTCTGGGTTGGAACTGATTGTCAACCTCTCTCGATGGTTGCATGTGCCTTCGGTCCATTCTTTATTTCCAGCTACCGTTTCCACGATACACATTCTCGGTTGACAGCCTTTATTTATTTGCACTACTTACCAAGACTCCAGGCTAGCATACTTAACCTGCAGGTATATGGGGGGTCCCAAATTGAGTGCTTAGAGCTCCCATGGGTCTTAATCTGGCCCTGATCAGCATCTTTTTGTAGAATTACATCACTTTTGCATCGTCCCTTCTTCATCCGTAATGAAATTGTCCAACAATCACTGTCATAAAAATTCCCTGTTTCTTAAGACTTCCGCTATTCCAATGATTCTTCAGATTTCGGTGCCATATTTTCCATCATTTATTGAAACATTTGCCAGATATTTAAATCCCGGTATTTGCTTGATTTCGACAGTCCGCATCTTAGGCTGTTTCGCTTGTTTACAATTTTAAAGTCTGTCTTCTTACAATTGACCATATACCGTAATTTCTCGAAAATAATACGCATTTTTGGAAGTGAAATCATTAAAAAACAGTGTAATTCAAGAGACTTTTAATAAAGGAATTGTGCTCTTCGGCAAGGTTTGAATCTGCGTTCCACTTTTATAGAGGAAAACCACGGTAGAGTCTGGTGTACCTTTCAATAGTTCAGCCACGAATGACTTTTGCAAGGATGCATGGCTCAATTTTTACTTATCTAAGAATGTAACCTTTCCAAGCCCATATATGCGACATAGATAGATAGATAGATATGAACAGACTGAGATAGATAGATAGATAGATAGATAGATAGATAGATATGAACAGGCTGAGATAGATATGAACAGGCTGAGATAGATATGAACAGGCTGAGATAGATAGATAGATGAATATGAACAGGCTGAGATAGATAGATAGATAGATAGATAGATAGATAGATAGATAGATAGAGGATGAGATAGATATGAACAGGCTGAGATAGATAGAGGCTGAGATAGATAGATAGATAGATAGATGAATATGAACAGGCTGAGATAGATATGAACAGGCTGAGATAGATAGATAGATAGATAGATATGAACAGGCTGAGATAGATATGAACAGGCTGAGATAGATAGATAGATAGATAGATAGATATGAACAGACTGAGATAGATAGATAGATAGATGAATATGAACAGGCTGAGATAGATATGAACAGGCTGAGATAGATAGATAGATAGATAGATAGATATGAACAGGCTGAGATAGATATGAACAGGCTGAGATAGATAGATAGATAGATAGATAGATATGAACAGGCTGAGATAGATATGAACAGGCTGAGATAGATAGATAGATAGATAGATAGATAGATAGATAGATAGATAGATAGATATGAACAGGCTGAGATAGATAGATAGATAGATAGATAGATAGATAGATAGATAAAGAAAGCTATAGAGTATAAGACAAAGGGATAGAAGCTGAGAAACCGAGAAAGAGATAGGTAGATAGAGTCAGACAGACAGACAGATAGATAAATAGATAGATAGATAGATAGATAGATAGATAGGAACAGAGTGAGACAGACATATAGATAAATAGACAGACAGATTGATAGTAACAGAGTGAGATAGATAGATAGATAGATAAAGAAACATAGAGTGATAGACACATATATATATATTTATATATATATACACATCGATAGATATGAACATACTAAAATAGATAGATAGATAGATATGAATAGAATAAGATAGATATATATGAACAGACTGGGATAAAGAGATAGGAAAATAGATAGATAGATTGATTGATTGATGAGAGAGAGAGAGAGAGAGAGAGAGAGAGAGAGGTTTATTTTATTTTTCTGCAAATGTAAAAATACAATAGTTAAATATTCTAAAATCATCAACACATGATGATCTGGAAGAAAAAGTGAAATAACTAACGCATATATATATATATATATATATATATATATATATATATATATATATATATATATATATATATCCAGATATACTGGTAATGCTTTCAGCCGAAAATGTTAGTTTTATATTAATAAATGGTATCCTTATTATGAATTCTACAAATATTGTCTTGCACAGCAAGCCACAGTCTCAAACCTGCTGCTCACGGCGCCGCAGACTATATTTGTGCGGCTCGCGGTAAGCCATTCTTCGTGACCAATATTTTTTCTCAAAATTTGCTAAGTTTAATAAATCTGTTCCTCTCTCCTTTCATACTTTTGCAGCAGCAGAATCGAGCCGGGCTTACCCGCCAAGTTCCAATTAATTTTGACGTCAGCGATGGCTGTCCTCGTTGCTCTCCATTGTAGCGAAGAAAACGCTAATTTACCACTGAAGAAGGTCTCCTTCGTGAACTGATGCGGGAGATTTTTTTTTACCTCTCATTGCGAGAATATTTTTTTTAAATGACACGTAGTAGCAACCGCACCCACATTCACTCCGTATTCCACCGGTGAGACGTAAGTTCCATTCGAGCAGATTCTTCCCGCGAACTATTGTTCCGTGGAACCGACTCCCAACAGGATGTTTCCCCGATCAATACTACTATACAGGAATAAAGTGTCACTGCCGACACTGGAGTTTGAACACAGATCACCAGAAAGCAAACACAGGCGATCCCATTTTGAATAAGTAAGACACGTGATGGTAAAGGAAATGTATATGTGGGAATTAGCGTGGCGTCTAAGTGATCACTCTCCGAATTACTTCGGAAATGTACTTGTCAAACTCTCTGCCACCGGGCAGAGAGCGACCCAAATGAGGCTGTGCCGAAGAGTAGAGTCTCGTCTGGGGTGTGAGACAACTACTCGACCCCTTTTCCACGGGGTCTACGGAGAATTTTTGACCGGGCCTACCCGACATTAAACTTTGCCTTGTGCGGCATCCGACCGCGTGGGGCGGTAGGTGAATATCTCACTCTCCGAATTACTTCGGAAGCGTGCTGATCAAACTCTCTGGGTAGAGAGGAACCCAGACGAGGCTGTGCCGAAGGGCAGAGTGTCGTAGGCGGGGTTGGTAGATAGCTACCCGAACCCGTTTTTACAGGGTCTACGGCAAATTTTTGCCCGTGTCTACAGGCACGGATATCCCACTTTAAACTTGGACTTGTACCGCATCCGGCCTCGTGGGGAGGTTAATGAATATCTCACTCTCCGGATTACTTCGGAAGTGTGCTTGTCAAATTCTCTGCCTGCGGGCAGAGAGGATCTCCAGACTAGCCTATGTCGAAGGGCAGGGTCTCGTCTCGGGAGACAGCTACCCGACCCCGTTTTCTGGTTCCCTGTGTTGTGCTAGACATTTTCCTCGCCAGAATCTATTTTAAATATTTATAAGTCTACCATTCGTCCTAGCTTTGAATACTGCTGCCACATATCGTCCAGTGCTTCTGATATATATTTGGCGATTCTTGATAAAATCCAAAGAAGAATCTGCAATGTTTATTACTGGCCCTGATCTGGCATCTCGGCTTCAGTCCCTTTCCCACCGCCATATCATAGCTTCCCTGTGTCTTTTCTATAAATACTTTCATAGTAATTGTTCTGATGAGCTTTCGTCTTTTGTACTTAGACTACTTTATGAATTTAAGACCAGTACTAGATTGGCAGCTAGGTCTCATCATTTTACAGTTTAAATGGCTAGATGTAACCATAAGTTCTATGCTAACAGTTTCTCAATCTGATAAGTATGTTCATGGTAATTGTTTTGATGATCTATCCTCTTTGGTACCCAGACTTTATGAATTTAAGAGCAGTACTAGATTGGCATCTAGGTCTCATCATGTTACAACTGAAATGGCTAGATGTAACCATAAGTTCTATGGTAACAGTTTCTTAATCTGATAAGTATGTTCATGGTAAGTGTTCTGATGAGCTATCCTCTTTGGTACCTAGATTTTATGAATTTAAGAGCAGTACTAGATTGGCAGTTAGGTCTCATCATTTTACAGTTGAAATGGCTAGATGTAACCATAAGTTTTATGCTAACAGTTTCTTAATCTGATAAGTATGTTCATGGTAATTGTTTTGATGAGCTATCCTCTTTGGTGCCTAGACTTTATGAATTTAAGTGCAGTACTAGATTGGCAGCTAGGTCTCATCATTTTTCGGTTGAAATGGCTAGATCTAACCGTAAGTTCTACGGTAACAGTTTCTTCTTTCGCACTTCTTGTTTGTGGAACTGTCTTCTGACTTCTTGTTTCCCAGTCAACTTTGATCTTCAAACATTTAAATGCAATGTCAATCGTTATGTTCTATTTTATTAATTCTTGTTTTTTTAATGTTCTCTCTCTCCTTAAATATGTTTTTTCTCATATTTTCTAACACTCGGTAATCCCTTGTGTCTTAGTGACTTTACTGTCTTGCTTGGAGTGAAATGATTAAAAAGAAAATTCCGATTTTCTTGTTTTCAATTTCGCATAACTTGTTCTCATATGTCTTCAACCCACAGCTATGGGTTAAATAACAGTAAAATGGTCTTGCTTTAGGTGGCAACGGGTCAAAGAGAAGGAAAATAATTCTGAATTCAAAATGGCAGAGAAAGATATGGGAAACCTCTCCACTGTCTTTCGCAAGTTGTGATCATCTATCTCCTGATGGAATACAGTGATTAGGGGGTTGTGATATGGCATACGAGCAGTATGAAAACTGAATGCGGGCGAGCCAAGTTCAAATTTCAACTGAGGCAGTTATGATCACATAGAAAATAAAAAGACTTATATTCGTCAGATATCTTCGCAATATCAGATATCTTTGCAATGTATCTCGTTACTGGCATATCACGATTCTGGAAAAATGGTCAACTCATTCTACCGTTCCAGTATGTATACTTCTCCTTCTAGCACATTTTATCTTTATAAGGGTCACCCCGCCCCCGAAAAAAAAAACATAAATGAAAATAGAGAATTGCCGTCATATCTGGGCTGGAGCTGCTCAGTCTTCGCTTTACAGCTGTGATAGGGTTAAACACTGTTTAAGCGGTCTCGTGGAGGGAAGACTTATTCTCCAGTCTGCATATTTCGCACAAACACAACGGCGCATGCGTGTCGCAATTGCCATGACAAATATTATAATGAGCTCTTTTCTTTAGATTCATCAGTTCAGACATTTACAGTTAGGGCACGCCATGCTGCAACCACGGAGTTGAATCATCCTCATTTCCCCTGTATTACAAAGAAACTGGCACTCGGCTTTTTCCAAGAACGGTTATTTGTGGAACAGATAACCACGTGGATGTTTTCTTGAACACTACAATCTTAACCTTTACAAGTTAAGGGTCAATTATTATCTATCCTGCCTATCCTCATGATCTTTACTTCTTGCCATCTCCTCTTTCAATCATAATGGGATCTGTCCTTATTCATGATTCAAGAATAATGAATGCCACTCTCGAAATCGACAACGGAACACGATTACCACAGAGATATTTAAATGCAATAAGGATGTTAGCAATAAACAAGGAAATCTAAATGACCTCTTTAGACAAGGAAGGTAGAATTGTCATCATGAATAAGAACTCATACGATGAAATAATTAATTCACTGCTCAGCGATACCTACGAGAAAAGGAATCGAATCATAGACATTGCTTCTATATTCCAAATGCGAAAAGAAAGTTCTATTCAGACATCTCCAAAGAATTGCTTTATTCTGAAACAAATTCCAATGTCGATGCTTTCCTAAAAGCTACAATCTTAACCTCTCCAAGAAATGGGTCAATCATTATCTATCCCCCTTAACCTCATAATCTTCCCTTCCTATCCCCTTGTCTTTCGTTCATATCACGCACGTCGGTCATCATAACTATTTTAAGAGTAATCCTCTACATCACAACCTTAACCAAAACAAATGAATGGTCACTCATTATATATCCTCCTTATCCTCATAATCATTATTTACTACCCCCTCCTATTTCATTCATATCACATACCTCATCCATCATAACCATTTTAACAGTAACCCTCTACATTGCAATATTAATATCTATAAGTCAAGTGTGAAACAAAATCTATCCTCCTTATCCTCATAAACTTCAATTCCTACCCCCTCCTCTTTTATTCATATCAAACACCTCGTTTGTCATAACCATCTTAACAGTAACTCTCTACACTACAATCTTAACCTCTTCATGTCAAGGGTCATATGATGAAAAAATTAATTCACTCCTCAGAGATATCCACGAGAAAAGGAATCGAATCACAGACATTACTTCCATATTCCAAATGCGAAAACAAAGTTCTATTCAGACATCTCCAAAGAACAGATGCGTAGATGATTCCTTGAACACTGCGATCTTAACCGTCTACACTACAATCTGAACCTCTTCATGTCAAGGGTCAATCATTATCTATCCTCCTAATCCTCATATTCTTCAATTCCTATCCCCTCCTCTTTCATTCGTATCACACACCTCATTCATCATAACCATCTAAACAGTAACCCTCTACACTAAAATCTTAACCACTTCGAGTCAAGGGTCAATCGTTATCTATCCTCCTTATCCTCATCATCTTCACTTCCTACCCCCTCCTCTTTCATTCATATCACACACCTCATTCATCATAACCATCTTAACGGTAACCCTCTACACTACAATCTTAACCTCTTCAAGTCAACGGTCAATCGTTATCTA